TAGGTCATTTTGTAGGTCATTTTGTAGGTCATTTTGAGGACTTTGGCTTTTACTCTGGGTGGGGTAGGAGCCACTGCAGCGTTTGAACAGAGGGACAGGATCTGACTTAGATTCTGAGAGGTGATTCCTCTTATAGGTAGTGAACTGACCAGCCACCCTCCCTGCCCTCATGGAGCTTATGATCCAGGCCAGATTGGGTGGGGCTGATACTGGGTAAATGGGCACATACTCTATTTTTCAAGGTGGTATATGTCCTATATGGTTCTCCTCCTTCATCCCACTCAGGTTCTATGCCCTCTAGGAAGCTGCTGCTGACGCTCCTTGTTCTAAACACCCCTGGCTGGGCCTGGCTGAGCTCACTGGGCAGGACCTGTGAGATCCATGGAAGGAGGGGCTGTGAGCGGGTGCTGGGGCTCCCATGGTACTGGGAGCCCAGGGCCATTCTGGGGTTGGGGGACAGCCCTGCCCCTCCTGGAAGAGTCCCTCAGTATGCCTCGACCCCAGATATGGAGGACACAACCTGCCTAAGGCAGCCCCCCTTCCCTGGGTCTGCCTCGTCCCACCACTTACATGTCCTGTGCAAACTGTGGGCTCTATTCGTCAGAATTCTTTGGTTGCAAGTGAGAGAAGCTCAATTCATACAGACTTAAATGAAAAAAGAAAATGTACCAGCTCATGTAATTAAAATTCAGTGTGGCCCCAGCTGGATCCAGGGACTCCAACTATTGAACCATGACTCAGCCTCCTTCCATCTCTGGGCTCTGCATTCCTCTGGGCTGGCTTCACTCTCCAACAGGCTGTCCCCATGGGGTGACCAGGATGACACCAGCAGCTCCCAGCTTCTGTCCCACCCACCCTAGAAGCCCCAATGCAGAATCTCTTCCCACCAGATCCAGCAGAAGTCCAAGGGAGGCTCTCATTGGCCCACTTCAGGTCACATGTCCATCCCAAAGCCAATCAGGGATGAAGAGGATGGATGGCTTGCTTGGCCACACCTGGGTCACAGCTCACCCCTGGTGTTGGGGGTTGGGGTAAGCACTTCCTAGTCCACACAGTGGACTCAGTGTGAGGAAGGGCTGTGTCCACAGTGCGAAATCAGAGGTGGACAGGGATGGACACAGAGAGACAGAAATCAAGGATGTCTGCAGTGCCTTGTCCCAGAGCAGGAGAGTAAGTCTGACAGGTGGATGTGCCTTAGCCACGGTCCCGAAGCTCCAACCAGCCAGAGGACAGTTTTCAGCCCAGGCTTCACAAGCAGCTCCTGGGGGAGTGGCGTTTCCAATCTTTTCCACCCAAACACCCATGCAGTTTGCAGGAGGCCGTGGGTCATGGCTGGAGGCCTCTTTCCAGAACCATACCCCTTGTCTCCATAGGGCAAGCCTCATATGTGCACCCTGAAAAGTAGCCTGTGAAATATGAGCATCCCCAGTTAGCCCTTCTCTCCCCCACTGCCTTCCATGGGGCTGCTGACCCCCACTGGGGCTGCACCCCCCAGCTTGGAAAATACAAATGAGCAGCATCTACTGCAGACTCATCCATCAGGCTGCTTTCCTCCACTGACAGAGAGGACCTGCAGTGACACAGCGGGAGAGGACGGGGAGGAGAGCCACAGGGCTGAGAGGTGTGGGGAGGAGGGAAAGGAGAAGGGAAGGGAGGGAGGCTGCCAGGAGGATGGAAGCTTCCCTCAGAGCTCTGTGGGGGCCCTGGGGTCCCCTCCACCATGCCTGGGAGCAAACCCACACCTCGTCCCCCAATGCGCATGTGTGTCTACACAAGCACACACCCACAGGGACACTGGTAGCTATACACATGTTAGCACATATCCACGTGTTTGCAAAGCCTATCTACCACACAAGTATGTGCCTGCATACACATACACCCTCCACGAATGCACACATCCATGGAGCCATGTACACACACACACACATGCACATATTGTTGGATGCACAATGCCCTACTGCATCCATGCAACCTCACATATAGGGGTTGAATCACCCATTCAGAGGCCAGACTACCTGGGTCCAAATCCCAGCCCCAAAGTTTGTGATTTGGGTCGCCTGATTTAACACCTCCATTTTTTCAGACCTAAGAATCTATCTCAGATAAAGCTGTCATGAGGATTACATGAGCTAATACACAGAGTGCTTAGAGGAATGTCTGGCTAACTGGCACTTAACAAATCTTAGCCAGAAACACACAGTCCTCTGCACATTTCCACATACTCCCTTCCACATGCACATGCCTGTGTGTGCACCTATATGCAGGCACCTGCCTCAGAACTGGCCTGTGCACCACACACACAGAGCACCTACACGTGTGTGTATATGCAGGCACATACTTATGCACATATATGGTTAGCCCAGTGCACACTTGCACCAGTGGACATCACTTGTGCAAATCAGCAGCCCATACCCACAGATGTGTACAGCTGTGTATACACATGTACCATGTGCATCCACACAGACATGCACCCTACGCACATGTGTAACATGCACACAAATGTGAACACACGTTCCCTAGATGCATGTACTCATGCATACCATACATGTCCTCCACATGTACCATTTGTTACCATATGAACATGCTTCCCCCATGCACACATGTATCCATGCACACCATACATGCACCCCACCCATGCACACACACATCCCTCCTCTTTCCAGTGAAGGAATCCCTCCATCCCTTTCCTCTTAGATCCAACCTGGTGCCCAGCAGGCCTGAGCCTCACCAGGAGCCCAGGAGAAGGAGGTGGCTGCCCCTAGCTGGGCTCATTAGCAACAGGGTCCACTCGCCTCACCCCACTCCCATCATTCTGTGGAACTTTCTGCGAAGTTCTTTTGTGGACTCACAGAGCCACAGATCAGTTGTGTTGGAAGGGCCCTTACCTGATCAAGTTTCAGCTTGTAAAGATGAGAAGACTAAGCCCCAGGAAGGGACACCCACTTGTCCACAGTTGCCCAAGGGCCCATTGCCAAGACCAGAAGCCAGTGCCCACAGCCCATGTGGTAACCACTGGGCTAGTCCACAGCAGGCGCATGGCGAAATTTTGTGGCTTGATCATCAGAGTAATTAGCAGGAGGTGCTTTCATTCCCCATGTTGCAGGTGAGTAAACTGAGGCCCTGAGAGGCTGAGTGGCTCTCACTCACCTACCTAGGACTCCAACCTGGGCCTCTTGACTCCAAACTCCATTCCCTTCTATTTGGAGGAAGCGTGTCAGGCTGCCTAGCTGGATATCTGGGGGTGGGGCAGGTGGCCAAGGCAGGGCAGGTGATGGGGTGAGAGGCCAGGGGCATCCCCAGGCCTGGGAATTATGCTGGGAGATGGCCATTCCAGCAGTGCCACAGCTGACAGCACCATGGAGGTGCACACCCAGGCCCAGGAGCCTGAATGAGAGCAAATACTGCTGGCAGGGCCTCCCTCGGGCAGGGGGTGGGGTGCTGGGACCTACTGCAAGCCAAAGGGCTGGGGTGGTTTAGCAAGTACACATGCGCTGGGTGTGCGGGTGTGCGCATGTGCAGGGCATGAACTGGCTGGCGTGGGCCTCCTGTTTGCTGTTTTTGTGTATAGGGAATATAAATCCTTCATGATCACGGTGACAGGGATGATAGGGGGCGCCTGATGTTGAGATGCTTTATCGCTCCCCGCAGACCAGTCCCTGTGGAGTCTACTTCTCCAGACCTGCACCATCTCCGAGGCTGACGAAACGCTACCAGCTAGATGCGGCCAAGGCCTCCCCCTCCGGACAGATGATTAGCTCTCCTTCAGGATTCACTGGCCTGGTCTACCCTCCCTCCTCCCTGATCAAGGAAGGTTCCTGTCTCCTGTACCCCCTTCCTGCCTCTGTCTCCTCCTCAGCCACATTCTCACTCAAAATGGACCACCTCGAGAGATGAAGCTCAACAGCTCCAAAGAAGTCTACTTGGCAAACAGGTCTGGAGTCCTCCCGCTCATATTCATTTTAATGATGATGATGACAATAAAATAGCTATCATTTCTTGAGCAATTACCACACACTAGGCACTACTGTAAAACACAGGGTCTCACTCAACCCCCAAAGCCCGATTCAGTAGTTATCATCACTTCCCACCTTTGCAGATGAGGAAACTGAGGCACAAGATGGACAGTGAGTGACCCAGGTCGTGAGTGGTGGAGGCAGGATTTGAACTCAGGCAGACCAACTCCAGTGTAAAATTATCTTCAAATTATTGTGCAAGGACACCTGCTCCCTGAGAGGCCTGTCCCACATCGGTCACCAGTTCTGCGCCTCAAGGTCACCAGTTCTGCGCCTTGAGGTCGGCTCAGGTCTCCTCCCAGACCTTCCTGATAAAAGTGATGGGTGGCTCCCAGGCCCACTGGGTCCCGCCACCAAGACCCTCACCCCGGCTCAAGCCCTTTTACCATCTCCTTGGTTCCCTGGGCTTCATGCTGTGACAGGTTGTTTGTTTTTCAGAAATGGCTATTAGATATAAAAGTACAAAGAATTAGAATAAATGCACCATATCAACTTCCCAGAATGGACAACTGTTAGCATTTTATCCTGCTTGCGCCTTGAATTCTCTTTTAATGAAGGCAATGAAAATCAAAAATCTCTTTTATCTCCTATAGTGTCCCATTCCCTTACCTGTGAGACAATAATTAGGAATTTAGTAGACTTTATTTTTTAGAGCAACTTTTAGGTTCACAGCAAAACTGAGCAGTAGGCACAGAGATTTCCCAGAAGCCCACTGTCCCCACGCGGGTGAGCCTCGCTACTAGCAGCATTCCCCAGCACAGTGGTGCATTTTCTTCAATCCCTGAACCTATGTAGACACATCATTACCACCCTGAGTTCATAATTGACATTAGGATCCACTCTTGGGCTGTGCATTCTGTGGGTTTGGACCATATAGAATGGCCTGTATCTACCAGTATAGAGTCATTCAGAGTAGTTTCACTGCTCTAGAAATCCTACATGCTCTTCCTGGTCACACTGCCCGCCTCCTTGGACAAGTGGTTTTAATGAAATATCGCCTATGTTTTCCACTGAGCACCATCCACCTCTCAATTTGTCCTTTGCACCTGGGCCAAGGCCCTTCCCCCCCCATCATCTCGTGCCCTTGTCATCAACTGTGGTGGGGACGCCTGCAGGAGGAGCAAGTTCAGGGTGGGGAATATCAGGGCTCAGTCTGGGACATGACATGTCTGAGGTGCCCATAGACTTCCAAGTGGGGATGTCCAGTAGCAGCTGGAGACTCACATCTGGAGATTCAGAGAGAACAGCAGGTATATGGAGTTTGGGGACCAACACCTCCTAAACTCGGTGTCCCTGGCAGTCATGCAGTGGGAAGGGCGGGGGCTTGTACTGTTTAATCCTCACTCTCTCCGGAAACTTCCCTGGGGCCCAGCAGGAGGGCTCCGCTCCCCTCCCCTCCTCAGCCCACTGTTGGTATTTACTCTTACACGCACGCACGGTCTGAGTGCTAACTGCACAGCTTGTGAGATACGCTAACAAAACTGCTATGTCATCACATTAGCAGCTTTCCCGCTGAGATGCTCCCCTCTTCCTCTGGGGGTGGCAAGCACCCAAACACAGCCCCTTTAATCAGGCTGTTAAAACAGCTAATTACATTCTTCAGACAAGGTGAGAGGCTTCCTGAGGCTTCCACCCACTCAAAATTGCTAATACAGGTCCCAGAAGGGTCTCCCTGCCAGGCTGGTCTAGATGCTCTGAGAGACTTTCAAGATCAGCCAGGTTTCCCACCCACCACTGGGTAGAAGGGGAGCCTGATGTCCAGAGAGGAGCTGACTGCTCCCATTTTGCAGATAAGAAAAGGGTAAGTGATGATGTGCCCAAGTTAGCTCAGGGCTGGTGGCCAGGGACCAAGCCTCCCATCTCCCACACCGGGGCTCCTGCAAGGGCCTGTCTCACCTCTTCCCAGGTGGAAATATCTTTCTCTCCAATATGGTGGATCAAATGGGGACAGGACTCTGTGTGTGACCACTGGTGCTTAGAGAAGGGGGCTTGCCTCTTGCCTCTATGCACAGAATCCACGCACCCTCCCACCCCTCCCAGGTCCCGCTTCAGGAGGCTCACCTACTTCCACGGCTCTCCCAGGATGCCGTGGTCTATGCCTCCCAGGCTAACACTTAACTTTCCCACTGTCCAGTCTCCTTAGCCATTACTTTTTCTGTGTGATTCAGTGGAGCTGGCCACACACTCTTGGTGCATGGGGTTGACTAGAGTCCTGGCTTGGCCACTCTTTAGCCATAGTGACTGGTCAGGTACATACATGTGCCCAAGATGTTCCCCAATGGAAACATCCTGGGATGCCCGCTAAAACAAGAGGGAAGGAGAGGCTCTCCTTTCTCTGGTTTACCAGCTCTGTGGCAGTAAAGCAAGCCTGGAGCACATGGGGAACTGCTTGGGAAACCAGCCCAGGTAGAAGCATGACCATGTTGGATTTAAAGTGACAGAAAAATCCACCCAAACTGGCTTAACAGAAAGAGAGAATTTATATTATCTTGACGATAAAGCTCGGTTCAATTCTGATACTCCGAGAGTTTTTGTCAGAACTCTCTCTCCGACTCTCAGCCTGCCTTGCCTCTGTGTCAGCTTCACTATCAACCTGACATTTTCCTTGAATGTCATGGAAGGCCTCTCATCCTGGCCATCCAAGCCAAAGGAGGGCCCCTTTCACTACAATGATGCCAAAATCCTGGACTCACTCCATCCGGACCAACCTGAGTCACATGTGTGGCACTGAGCCAATCACTGTAGTCAGGGGAATGGGATGCTCTGATCGGTCAGATCTTGAACATGTGCTAACCTGCTTTGCTCTGTCTTCTGCTCCCGTGATTCACTGAGAGCAAGTAGGATGCTTAGCAACGAGCTCCTGGCTTTTTCATGGTGCCAGGGTTGGGATAGCCCTACCAGGGTCCTAAATGTTGAATTATAGGGATCCCCAGTACTTGGATTTCAGCTGGCTGGGCTCCTGGGAGGAGAGGACAGAGAGGTGACCTTGGCTCCAGTCCTGATGGTGACACTCACTAAGAGACCTTGGACAAATTACTCTATGTTTCTCTTGTGTAAAATGGAGATAGTTACAGTACCTCCCTTGGAGGGTTGTTTGAGGATCAAATAAGGTGATTTATTAGGGGGGCTTGGAAGAATGCCTCACTCACATTTACGGAGCCCTGTAGGGTCCAGTAAAGGGAGCTAACTATCCACCTGTGAAGGACAACTAACCGTACCACATGTGGTCAGGACTGCCTCCCACTTTCCCCAGCACCCCTCACATCTCCTTCATCCCCCTGCACCTCCCCTCTCCCCATCCTCTCTCCATCTCCCAGTAACAGGGGGAGAAAGATTTCTAATGTGAACATCAGCCCATGTCACCTCCTCACTGACAGTCCTGAATGCCTCCCTCATGGCCTTCAAGGTCATATTCAGGCTCTTCACGCTGGTCTACAAGGTCCCACAGGATCCAGCCCCTGCCCACTTCACTTTAGCCACATAGGCCCTTTTTCATTTGCAAACAAGCTCATCCAGCCTCAGGGCTCTTGCCCCTTGCTGTTCCCACTGCCTGGAATAGTCTCCCCAGATGTCACTGCCAGTGACTCCCTAAGTTCATATGAATCTCTTCTCAAATGCCGCCTCCTCAGAACATCTGATCTAAGGTAACCCCTCCTTACCGCCCCTGCAATCCTCTTCTGTCCCACCAGCCTGTTACTCATTTCTCTGTGTCACTTCTCATTATCTGAAATAGTCTCATGTTGGGTTTTTATTGCCTGTAAAAGATACCTGGGGCTTGCAGGGCCTAGTCCAGACAAGGTAAGTCAGAAAGGCAAAAAGCCAAGTCCTACAGCCTGGACTGGGGTCCCACCTACTGGATGACCAAAGACTGCTTTTGAACGGAAAGTTCTGCATGACCCTTAGGAGCCAGCTGATGGGGGTCCTTGGACACCGGAAGCAATCGCTGCTTGCTAGAGGCTTTTCTAGGTCATCACGGAGACTGAGTCCTGTCTCCTGCTCCTTAGCAGTAAAAAGGACAAAAGCTGGCTGCCCACCCAACCTGTCAGACCCTCTCCTGGAAAGCGGGAGGCCGCCACCTGGTGAACAATCCCCCTGCAGTCAGCAGCCCCGAATGTTGTGTTGGCTAAAAGCAAACAGCCTGAGGGACTGTTTCTTAGTCTTAATCTGCTCAAAACCAGGGTCTTAAAGCACTTACTTCTCCATCTACTAATTTTGGAGGCAATTGGCTGCTGGGTGTTCTTGCCTGCCAACTCCCTCTCTGCGTGTCTGCGTGTTCAGGGCGCTCATGCCTGCCCAAATATGCCAGCTGTAGAGAGTTTTGTTAATCTGTTCTTAAAGTACATTTTTTAACAAGCTTCTTGAATGATAGAGGCATTTGTGTATAAATAACACATAGTAAGCCTCCCCTTGGGACACTAACCTGATTTATTAAAAATGCTATAACTACCTAGCTTTATACACCAACATCTTTAACACAAAAATATATGATCTAATCTCCTCCTACAGCCCTGCCCTGATGTAGATGGACAGCTCAAAGGGGAGGGAAGAACCTGGAAGACATCACCACAAAGTTCGAAAGAAGCCAGTGTTAGATATTTTAAAGGAAGCCAGGTCAGCCAACCAAAACTTGTTTTCTCCAACACTAGCCTGGGGACCTGTGGAGAAAAACAGACCCAATTTCTTTCCATGACCAAACCTTCCCACCACACTGGACAGGGGTTGAGGTCACCCTGACACCTTTCTCTGTGTCTCTAATGATCTGGGGAGGGCCCACTCACACCTCATGGATGGGACTTAAACTCAGTACCCAAACAACCCCACCTGCCAGGAGCTCAGTGTGTCCCAGGCAGTGCCAGCTGCAGCCTGTGGTCATTTGCAATTCTGGGCCATCTCAGTGTGTTACTTGTAGTGCTAATTATATTCCTCTTTAAATGGCCTCACTCTTTAAATTTCAGCCTCAAACCAAGCAATACTGTCATCTGGTCCTCAGGTTTTCCTGGGATGCCCGCAATGTCACTGGATCTGATTGTGAGGTGCCCTCACCCAGCGGCACCTGTT